GAGATGGTGGAGAGGGACATGAGGAGGGTAATTGAGGAGACCCAGCACCTTAGTGAACTTTTGAAAAGTTCGTACTTGCACAATTATCATATTTTTGTTCCAGTTATTTTGTACTGAGGTATAATTTCTTATTGTGAGGTTCTCATATGCCAATATTCCAGTATTATTCACTCAATCACAAATCTGAATAAAAAGTTGAAGGTCATAATTTTGTGCTCACTTCTTAGATTCGTTCTCAAGGCTGTTATTGGTATCTTATTACCGTGATTTGTCGTACCAAATTGTAAAAAACCAGCCTCACATCTGTTCGGAAAACCGTCGTTACCCTACCCGCTAGTTTGGGTGATACCGGTGAAAAGTTTGCAGAAAGATTATTGCGTAATGGCGTCCTTTTCTAGCTGGATAGGAGAACGAGCTCTGAGTTGACTGTCGGTAGCAGCTAATCGACTTGTTCCGGTTTTCTGATTCCACAAGCCTGGAAGGATTGAAAAGAACGACACGACACGGTATCGACGTACAAAGGCGAACTACTGACGAGCTACAAATCGAACGGTCCTCAGTTGGACTCAAAAACATTCTTAAGGGCGTATGCGTGTATGCCGTCGGTCGCGCAGCAATCTCGCGCAGGTAGTAGAGTCACCTTGGTCCGCAATCTGCCGAAGGTAATTCAAGATAGAGGGCAAATCAAGTTCGCCATGTGCGGGTAGGCCCTATTTTCTAAAGCTGACTCAAATGGCACTTCTAGTTCCTCATCCCTCAACTGATGTGTAACTGTGAATATGTAAGCTTTTCCTAGAGGAAGCCAATTTTCGTGACTTTTCACATTTCGCACGGCGCCAAGGCTTTCATTTTTCATCTACGTTGTTCACGAGGTGATGAACTACTACAACAACTACTACTATTGGATATATACAGAATTTAGGATGGGGAACATTCTTAAAAAGTCTCGCTACCCATACTAGTTCGTTTACAAAGTACTACATTGACGAGGTACCAATACAGCGGTTCTAACGTCCTGACGTGGAGGCAAACATCCAAAGCGTGCATGAGTCTATGTAACCTGTCGCACAGTAACCTCAGCTAATCGTGTCAGGAGTCTTCGATATTCCCTCTACAGCCTATTGAATATTGGTCAAATTATTCACACCTCTGAAACCATTGACCCCTTGAGGTGGAAGCGAGGACACACACATACATACTCTCCCAAAAAATGTTAACATACCTGGTCCGCAACGATTCACCGAAAATTTCTATGAGTGAAGAACCGAACAAACAGGTGCTACCAAAGTTTTCCCAAGTTCGGTTGAGCCTAAAGAAATTACCGTGAAAATGCAGCTCCGTAGTTGGGATTCTCACATTAGACGCTAGAACGCAGAAAGCAGGAGTAGCCCTTCGGACCCATAATTATGCTCATCAAGCAGGAATAGTATGCTAACCTACTACCGCACAAATTTGGAAAGAAATGAATCATTAGTCAACAGGACATCTGATTCTACCCCCACTCCAACTTTTTGCACTTGTTTTTTACTCATCTCACACACCCCATTTCTCCTCCCTTGTCAAAGGTAGGTAAGAGTATATTGGGCCGGCTACCACTCCTTC